CCCCCACCACACACACACACACACACACACACACACACACTCTCCAGTCCAGCTTTTCCCCACACTGCTGTCAGCATACCTCCTCCAGTGGGGTCTTCACCTCTTTCTCAGGAAGGAGGGTTGATTATCTTGTAGTAGCTAGTCTTGGTAACAGACTGTGCCAAATGTCTGAACTCACATTGTGTCAGTTTTGGGCTGCTGAAATTCAGTTGGTGTGGCACCACACTCAATAATCCAGCTTTCGTACTCCCCCAATCTTCCCTGTCTGTCATGTGATGAAATGGTGTGGGTGTGATTGGACTGGATGCCTTGGCTGGGCCCAAATAACACTGTGATGTGTACATATAGCTCTTATCTATGGGTATCTTGTAGCCCCAGCCATTGTCAGTTTGTGGTCACAACTGAGAAATAAAAAAAAAAAATAGCATATATGCAGTTTAGCATCATAAAAGCCACATATCACACTAGCCTTCACATCACCATCTATCTTCCCCCCGGGGAGAAGGGGAAGTTGGGAATTAGTCAAGAAAGATCAGAGTAACGATAACAGGAGTAACTTAGCTGCCCTGTCAGACACAGTCAATACAAGCCCAACTGACTTGCTGTTCAGGCTGGTGGGCACGAAGCAGTGCTAGGTTTGCTTGGAGGGCGATGTTTTAATCTAGTACAATTTGAGTTGACAGAATGATACCTCATTGCCTTTTTTGGGTCATCAAAAACACCATGCCTCATGAAGCCCATTTGAGGAGTGCCTGCTGTCAGAATAGCAGTTTGAAAAATACTACCGCCCTACCTTCTCCACACCAGAGGGAACGGGCTCCAGTAAAACAAACCAGAAGAAGAACCTGGTAGTTACAACAGGCTGAGACCAGTTCAGCGTGTCCTGTATAAGTTGCAATGGATTGAACATTTCTGCCAGATACCTGGGGAACAGACTATAAAAGTTAAATCCTGTTCTCTCCCCAACTTCCCCCTCCAATGAGAATTGTTGGAGCTGGTCAGTGGATTTAATGCCCCACTGGAACCCAATTGCTTTTTCTTCTTCTTAAAATCCAATAGAATGAGTTATCTTGTAGAAAATTATTCCTGTCATTTGCATCCTCACTGGATCTCAAGTTCTTTGGTGATAAGAAGGGTCTGGTTCTAGTCTTCCAGAAGGCTATGGACTCCTGTAGGTATAAAGACTTGCAGTCCATCAATAGCAGGATACTTTCCCAGATCACCTAGCTGGGAGTTTCTCCTCTTTACTGTCTGTGATAGGTCACCTTTAGCCCTGTGAAAGTCTGAAGAAGAACTGGTCTCGCTTGGTCTCCACATTCCATACTAGTTGCATCACTGAACTGCTGGAGATGGGGCTTTTCATTCCATTTCCTTTAGCTCAGTCGCAACTATCTTCTCAAACTAAAACATGGGGTGTGTGTGGGGGGGGAATCACATCAAATCAGTCCTGTTGACCCTAGAGGGCAGTATATTTTGGTGAGTGGGAGGGGGGAAGCAGTGGTAGGAGGTCTGATAGATAGCTGTAGGGTTTTGTATCTCTTGGGAAGGTTCACTTTAAAGCATTAGCACTGGGAACTGAGAGCAAGTTTTATCTAAATTTCCCAGTGGCCTAAATTGTTCCATTATGGGGAGACTGGAATTAACCTTCTCTGAAAGTGTCTTTGTTTCTGCACATTTTTAAATCAATCTTCTCAGGGGTGACTGAGTGGTCCGAGGGGAAGTGTGGGGGGGTGAGCCACAGGGGTGGGGGCACAGCTCCTCAGACCTCTGCAGCTTGGCCATGGGCTCCTCACCCTCAGGTTTTGCCTGCAAACCCAGAGGTTTTGTACAGTTTGTCACATGTCAGTGCCCTTTGCTACTGTTTTTCTTTGTTTATTAAATGTGTTTGAATAATGATTCAGATGCTGTGATTAATTTTTTTTCAATAAAGATTCTGAAATGGGTTGGAAGTTTGAACTAATGGCCTGTGTCCTGCTGCTTTGTTTGTATTGACTTTTAAACTGGGCTGTCGTCTTTTCATATAACTTTTTGAACACCTGTTTTACTCCACTGCCTACCACACACTTGGAAGGAAGGATACTTTGGTGTAAACTCACAGTACACAGCTGTAAAGATTACAAGGTAAAAAGCAAAGGGGAAGAATGATAAATAAAGCCCTCAAACACCACCACGTCTGTACATCACGATAGCACAAAAGACAGAAAACACTTTCTTCCCCCCATGAAGTGATGATCTGCAAGTGTCCATTTGGAAAGAGATTGTACAGCAGTGTTTAACAGTAAAAATGGTTTTCATTATTTCTAGAAGGTATTTTAAATAAATAGTTATTATATTACCCCAATCATAATGCACCCAGCATTTTCCTTATTTGTCTCTTAAGCAAGATTGATGGATTAGCGGAGATTCAATTTGTTTCCTGTTTACAGGGATTAATTTTCAGAAAGGCTTGAAACACAGAGGCACCAACAGATGGACAATTGGAGGGGGGAGAGAGCAGGGAAAGAACTAAATAAGTTTAAAAAAATTCAGTCTGCCTGTAATAAGCCTGAAAGCCAGTGTGCGTTTGTGTCTCAGGTTTCCAAGCAGAAACTGCCTTTCAGAAAAGAAATGTCTAAATTTTGGAGCCAAGTCGTTGCTGCCTCCGACATCTGTTCCTGATGCTGCTCTGCCTCCCTGCTTAGCACGAATACCTCTGCTCTGGTGACAGCCTACCTCCAAGAGCAAGGTCACTATCCCCTTTTTTCCTTTTATGGCTTTTGCTTCAGGAGATCAGCATGTGGGAGTTTGGGGCCATCTTAAAACTTCTGTCTATTGTCGTCCTTGTGCTGGGATCTCAAAGTACTAAATGTAAAATAAGCCTCCCATCAGTACCAGAATGGAGAAGTGATTTGCTCAAGATCACACAGAGAATCAGCAAAGCTGGGAAAAGAAACTAGGAACAAGGAACTGCTAGGCTCCTGCTCTAATCACAAAACTATATTCCTTCTTAGGGTCCATTTCTGAGCATGTGTGTAATCTGCCACCAACTCTGTTCCTGCAGCTGGCAAAGCCTTGACCACAGTAGGGACTCTCCCAGAGTTTGCCTCCACTGGTGCATGTTTGGAGCCTTAGTGGGAGGACGACTGCTGGAGTTTTGAACATTTACCTAACTGTCTAATCATTGTAACATTAGCTGCATTTATCAGGTCATCTATGTTGGGGTTCTGATTATGAAGATCTCTTTAATCTAGACATCTAAATAAATAATTTAAGATTATGGTCCAGGAGCTGTTGGTGAACTGAACTCAAAAGTTTTTCCCAAGCCCCTGACCTGTCTCAGAAGGTGACAGAGCACAGCTAGCAATAGTTTCAGGTTCGAAATGCCAACTGCTTTGGCAGAATAGGAAGTCAGGTTGTGTTAGGGTGACCAGACAGCAAATGTGAAAAATTGGGATGGAGGTGGGGGGGGTGGGGGTAATAGGAGCCTATATAAGAGAAAGGCCCCAAAATCAGGACTATCCCTATAAAATTAGGACATTTGGTCACCCTAGGTTGTGTCTGCATTGTGACAAAGTTCCTCCTCTATCTTGGTGGGTCCTGCGCTTATTGGCAGATTTTCTTGCCTCAGAGATTCACCATGTGGGTTGGGGAACAGCCCAGAGACCTTCCCCTCTGGAAGAACCCACAGTCCAGGTCAATTGGGAGGTTTGGGGGGGGAACCCAGGCCCACCCTCTACTCCAGGTTCCAGCCCAGGGCCCTGTGGACTGCAGCTGTCTATAGTGCCTCCTGTAACAGCTGCATGACAGCTACAACTCCCTGGGCTACTTCCCCATGGCCTCCTCCAAACACCTTCCTTATTCTCACCACAGGACCTTCCTCCTGGTGTCTGATAACTCTTGTGCTCCTCAGTCCTCCGGCAGCACACCCTCTCACTCTCAGCTTCTTGCTCCCAGCTCCTCACGCTCACACCACAAACTGAAGTGAGCTCCTTTTAAAACCCAGATGCCCTGATTAGCCTGCCTTAATTGATTCTAGCAACTTCTTAATTGGCTCCAGGTGTCCTAATTAGCCTGCCTGCCTTAACTGGTTCTAGCAGGTTCCTGATTACTCGAGTGCAGCCCCTGCTCTG